GTAACTCTGGTTCTATGGTTCTATACGACCTCCAGAGTGGTACGTAACTCTGGTTCTATGGTTCTGTACGACCTCCAGAGTGGTACGTAACTCTGGTTCTATGGTTCTGTACGACCTCCAGAGTGGTACGTAACTCTGGTTCTATGGTTCTGTACGACCTCCAGAGTGGTACGTAACTCTGGTTCTATGGTTCTATACGACCTCCAGAGTGGTACGTAACTCTGGTTCTATGGTTCTATACGACCTCCAGAGTGGTACGTAACTCTGATTCTATGGTTCTATACGACCTCCAGAGTGGTACGTAACTCTGGTTCTATGGTTCTATACGACCTCCAGAGTGGTACGTAACTCTGGTTCTATGGTTCTATACGACCTCCAGAGTGGTACGTAACTCTGGTTCTATGGTTCTATACGACCTCCAGAGTGGTACGTAACTCTGGTTCTATACGACCTCCAGAGTGGTACGTAACTCTGGTTCTATGTTCTGTCCCTCAGTCCAGTAACCACGGTGATCGTCCAGCGGGGGACGCTGAAGCGAGGCAGCTTGCTGGTGGTGGGGAACACTTGGGCTAAAGTGCGTTTGCTGTTTGATGAGAATGGGCAGGCGCTGAAGGAGGCGGGGCCGGGCAGGGCGGTGGAGGTGGTCGGTTGGAAGGAGCAGCCGTCAGCTGGAGAGGTTCTACTGGAGGTGGAGTCAGAGGTCAGAACCAACACTGTGTATTAGATAGATACTTTATTTATCCCGAGGGAAATTCAAGTATCCAGTAGCATACAAAATACAAAACATACATTAAACTGAAATTAAAAACCCTAACCTTAAGAATAGAATTAAAAACAAAACAAAAAAAATTGTAGTATTTCTATTGAACAGTAGTATCTGGTTGTGGAGCAGCAACAGGCGAAGGAGGTGGTGAGCTGGAGGATCTATGAGGAGGAGCAGCAGCGGCTGCAGGAAGAGCAGAGCGCCATCGAGCTCAAACAGAAGGAACACCTGCAGGAGTACAGGAAGGAGAGGGAGGAGCTAGGTCACCTGAGCTGGAGGAAGAGGAGGGCAGCTGTGTACCAAGCTAACAAGTACAAGTTCTCCATGAGGCCGAGCGAGAGGACGCAGAGAGACAATCTGATTCTGCCACTCATCATCAAAGGTACGCAGCTAACAATGCTAACGATGCTAACTGACCCCCTCAGGTGTAACTGACTGACCTTTGACCTGCAGGTGACGTGAACGGCTCACTGGAGGCCATCCTGAACATCCTGGACAGTTACGACGCTCAGCAGCAGTGTGACCTCGAGGTGGTTCACGTCAGCATCGGAGACATTTCAGAGAAAGACGTCAACATGGCGGAAACATTCTCAGGTAACGACCACGAGAGACTCGCGCCGGGCGCCAGTAACCAGGCTTCATTCAGCTCCGCCTCCATTTATGGATCATTACAAGTCACCAACTCGTTTCCTGTCGAACTTTTATCGACTTCAGTCCAGGAAGTAACGCCGATAACTGCACGACTTTTATTATTTAATTCAATAACTGAATCAATAAAAACATTTTGTTTACTCTGGAACAGCCTGAACTCTTCTTCCTCCTCCTCCAGGTTCCATTTACGGGTTCAACGTCGGGGCCAGTAAGTCCGTCCAGCAGCTGGCGGCGAAGCGCTGCGTCCCGCTCCGACTTCATAACATCATCTACAAACTGGTCGACGAGCTGAAGGAGGAGCTCAGCGCCAAACTGCCGCTGCTCGTCTCGGAGAACATCATTGGTGAGGAAGCGTTTGATGGAACCGGTTTTTCATTTTGTGGCTGAACTGACTCTGTAAACCACGTTGTGAGCTGGTTCCTGACAGGAAGTGCACTCTCTCTCTGGTCGCCCAGGTGAAGCTACGGTTCTCGCCATATTTGAGGTCTCGGTGGGGAAGAAGAAAGTTCCCGTCGCCGGCTGTCGGGTTCAGAAAGGTCAGCTGGACCGCCAGCGGAAGTTCAGAGTGATCCGAGGCCAGGACACCGTCTGGGAGGGTGAGTGTAGACCTGGACCCCGTCAGCAGTCTGTTAGCCCTCACAGGCGAACTGAGCTAACCCGTGGCGTTCCCCGCAGGTTCTCTGGCGGCGTTAAAGCATCACAAAGACGAAGTGCAGACGGTGAAGGTGGGGATGGACTGCGGCCTGTCGGCTGATGGCGGCCTCGACTTCATGCCCGGTGACGTCGTCGTCTGCTTTGAGAAGGTGAACGTGCCGCAGGTCACTTCGTGGGACCCCGGCTTCTGATGACTTCACCTCCCAGCATCCTCTGCTGCAAACAGGAAGTTGGACAAACTGCTGACGTACAGACTTCCTTACTTACTCAGTTTGCGTCTGAGTGACATCACTTCCTCCCAACAGGCTGAACCCAGAGTTTAAACTCAGTTCTGGATTTAGAGACTTCATCAGTCCAGTGAATTCTCCACCTGACGCTCTTTCAAGAGATAACTGTTTGTTTTTTGATGCCATTAAAATAAAACTCATTAAAGCGTCTCTGTTAGTGTTTCCAACAATCACCAACTCTGGTTTGGTGGAAATAAATCCTTAATTCACCGACGTAGATGATAAAAACAGCAGTTTCAGTCGGAGCAGACCGGCTATGGAAACAAACCACAGAGAGGCTGCGATACAACACAGGCAGAGGGAGAGAGACAGGCAGAGGGAGAGAGACAGGCAGAGGGAGAGAGACAGGCAGAGGGAGAGAGACAGGCAGAGGGAGAGAGACAGGTAGAGGGAGAGAGACACCATGTGACTCTGAGCTGTTTTCACTGACTATAAATGTGTGAATGTATTTGTTCTGTAATTAGACCTGATATAAAGTCTAATGAGGCTGAATGAATGAATGAATGATGTCAGGGTGAAGGAAGCAGTTGGAACCAAAACAACTTTATTTACAAAAACAAACGGAGTCTTGCACTCGTTTCACTCTAAAACTTAAAAAACAAAAAAGGCAGGAAATAACAGGAAGTAAAAGGGGGCAGGGCTCCGCTGTGACATCATCCAGGTTACATCAGATCAGATCGGCCACTGCGGAGACAAAACACATTTATATATTTATTATATATTTAAATATTTATATCATTAACAACATCACTGAGCTAATGGAGACATTTACAGTCTTTAATATTATATAATAAATAATATAATAATTCAATTCAGTTTTATTTGTATAGCACCAATTCATGACAGAAGTTATCTCAGGACACTTTTCAAATAGAGCAGGTCTAGACCGAACTCTTTATAACATTAATTACAGAGACCCAACAGTACCACCATGAGCAAGACCTTGGAGACAAGGGCAAGGAAACACTGCCTGTTAAAAGGCAGAAACCTAGGACAGATCCTCCGGCTCTAGGTGGGTGGTCGTCTGTCTCGACCAGTTGGGGTGAGAGTAATAAATAATATAATAAAAATATAATAATGGATATAATAATATGATATAATAATTAATAATAGAATAATGACGACTTTTTAAATCTAATTTCACCAAAATAACAGCTGTTCCATTAGTAAGACAGACAGACAGACAGACAGTATGACAGACAGACAGACAGTATGACAGACAGACAGACAGACAGTATGACAGACAGACAGACAGTATGACAGACAGTATGACAGACAGACAGACAGATAGGGATTGTTATTTAGGGTTTTTGAATTATTTTAGGGAAAATTTATTTTGAGCTAATATTTGACAGTGTGATAATCCATAATTTAGTTTATTGATCATGAGGTCGGTTGAGTAAAAAGTGATCATTGATATTTTATGCTTCATAAACAGTGAAACCAGACGATCAATAAACATATATTCCTTTATATTAACTACACTCCATTATTCAGGTGTTTACTGAAAGGTGAAGCTCGTACCGTTCATGGGCATCTCGTCGATCTGGGTGGAGTAGTACTGCTCGATGTCTCTCAGGATCCTGATGTCATCGTTCTTCACAAAGTTGATGGCCACGCCCTTACGACCATAACGACCAGACCGACCAATCCTGGAAGAGGTCAGAGGTCAACAGTCATATTATACAGACAGCAGTGATACACTGTATCTTTATTGATTATTGATCAGTATACACTGTTCTTTATGATTATTGATCAGTGTACTATACACTGTATCTTTATTGATTATTGATCAGTATACACTGTATCTTTATGGATGATATTGATCAGAATACACTGTATCTTTATTGATGATATTGATCAGTATACACTGTATCTTTATGGATGATATTGATCAGTATACACTGTATCTTTATGGATGATATTGATCCTGTATTGACAGTCAGACTGTGGACATATGACGGCCTTTAGCTCGTGTTTCTAGAGTTACGTGTTGTTACGAACACGTTAGGAATTGTTAAAATGTGATATTTCTTAAAGGGAGTTTGGTGCAGGGAGCTTTTAGTTGGATTCAAACTGCTGATATGGATCATTGTTAACGTTTAGTCTCCACTACAGAGACACTAGCTAACTGCTGAAGGCTGATCAGGTTGATTAATGCTTTAATAATGGGAGTATTGATTGGTGATCAGGCTGATCAGGATCAATATGAGCTGTAAATGGCTCTCTGTTGTTGGGCCTACTTTGTGTGGAGGGATACGTACCTGTGGATGTAGAGCTCTCTGTTGTTGGGCAGGTCATAGTTGATGATCAGAGAAACTTGAGGGACGTCTAACCCTCGAGCCCAAACGTCGGTAGAGATCAATACTCGACTGAAACACACACACACACACACACACACACACACAGTTAGTTCGCGTCACAACTACAATGAACACATTTCTGGTTCTGGTTCTGGCTCTGGCTCTGGTTCTGGTTCTGGCTCTGGCTCTGGCTCTGGTTCTGGGTTTACCTGGCTCCTGATCTGAACTCCTTCATGATGGACTCTCTCTCTTTCTGAGGCATGTCTCCGTGCATCGAAGACACTGTGAAGTTAGCCTCCCTCATCTTCTCCGTCAGCCAGTCCACCTGAAACACACACACACACACACACACACACACACACACACACACACACACACACACACACACACAGTCAGTCTCCCACAATGCTTTGCTGCTTTCTACCAAGGTAACAATAAAGGTAGCTAGCTCCTCCAGACAGGAAGTCCTGGTTCAGGTGTTGTTCCTGATAATCAATAAAAGTATTTGATGACTCATCTTGCACTCGGGGGCGTTTACTAACGCTGCGTCCAATCAAACGCTTCCTCTCTTCCGACGCCGCCGGAGCGACTCTGAGGGTCGTTAATCTATGACCTCACTGTAGAGCTACATTAGCTAGTTAGCATTAACTGTAGAGCTACATTAGCCAGTTAGCATTAACTGTAGAGCTACATTAGCTAGTTAGCATTAACTGTAGAGCTACATTAGCCAGTTAGCATTAACTGTAGAGCTACATTAGCTAGTTAGCATTAACTGTAGAGCTACATTAGCTAGTTAGCATTAACTGTAGAGCTACATTAGAAATGGACAGATTGATCAGTAGCTAACCGCTAACTGCTGTTAGCCGTGCAGCTAAGCTAAGGCTACTGTGATCTATAATCTATAATGGACCGGTTCTGATTCTGACCTTCCTCTTGGTGTTGCAGAAGATGACGGCCTGCGTGATGGTCAGAGTGTCGTACAGATCACACAGAGTGTCGAACTTCCACTCCTCCCTCTCCACTGCCACAAAGAACTGTTTGATCCCCTCCAGGGTCAGCTCATCACTGCGGGGGGGAGGGGGGAAGAGGGAGGGAGGGGGGGAGAGAGGGGAGGGGGGGGGGGGGGGGGGGGGGGGGGGGGGGGGGAGGGAGAGAGAGAGAGAGAGAGAGAGAGAGAGAGAGAGAGAGAGAGAGATCAGTCTGGATCCTGGTCTGCTTTCTCTCTGGACCTCCTCCCGTCTGGTTCTGGACTCACCGTTTCACCAGGATGCGGATCGGGTCGGTCATGAACTTGTTGGTCATCTCCAGGATCTCGTGAGGCAGCGTGGCGCTGATCAGGACCACCTGTGTGGCCGGGGGCAGGTACCGGTACACGTCGTAGATCTGCTCCTTAAAACCTGAACACAGTGAGGACAGGAAATCACTGACCACATGTCTGTACTACCCTTCTATATTCTGTCAGTGGCGTTAATGGACACAGACAGACTGCTGCTGCTGTGGTTGTGGTTGTGGTGGTGGTTGTTGTGGTTGTTGTGGTTGTTGTGGTTGTTGTGGTGGTGGTGGTTGTTGTGGTGATTGGGTGATTGGGTGGTTGTGATTGTGGTGGTTGTGGTGATTGTGTGTTGTTGTGGTGGTTGTGGTGGTTGTGGTTGTGGTGGTTGTGGTGGTGGTTGTGGTGGTGGTTGTGGTGGTTGTGTGGTTTGTGGTGGTGGTTGTGGTGGTTGTTATGGTTGTTGTGGTGATTGTGGTGGTTGTTGTGGTGATTGTGGTGGTTGTGGTTGTTGTGGTGGTTGTGGTTGTTGTGGTGGTTGTGGTGGTTGTGGTGGTTGTTGTGGTGGTTGTGGTGGTGGTGGTTGTGGTGGTTGTGGTGTGTGGTGGTTGTGGTTGTTGTGGTGATTGTGGTGATTGTGGTGGTTGTTGTGGTTGTGGTGGTTGTGGTTGTTGTGGTTGTTGTGGTTGTTGTGGTGATTGTGGTGGTTGTGGTGGTTGTGGTTGTTGTGGTGGTTGTGGTGGTTGTGGTGGTTGTGGTTGTTGTGGTGATTGTGGTGGTTGTGGTGATTGTGGTGGTTGTGGTGGTTGTGGTTGTTGTGGTTGTTGTGGTGATTGTGGTGGTTGTGGTTGTTGTGGTTGTTGTGGTGGTTGTGGTGATTGTGGTGATTGTGGTGGTTGTGGTGGTTGTGGTGGTTGTGGTGGTTGTTGTGATTGTGGTGGTTGTGGTGATTGTGGTGGTTGTGGTTGTTGTTGTGGTGATTGTGGTGGTTGTTGTGGTGATTGTGGTGGTTGTGGTGGTTGTGGTGGTTGTGGTGGTTGTTGTGTGTGGTGGTTGTGGTGGTGGTTGTGGTGGTGGTGGTTGTGGTTGTTGTGGTTGTTGTGGTTGTTGTGGTGGTTGTGGTGGTTGTTGTGGTGATTGTGGTGATTGTGGTGATTGTGGTGGTTGTGATTGTGGTGGTTGTGGTGGTTGTGGTTGTTGTGGTTGTGGTGGTTGTGGTTGTTGTGGTTGTGGTGGTTGTGGTGGTTGTTGTGGTGGTGGTTGTTATGGTTGGTGGTGGTGGTTGTGGTGGTGGTTGTGGTGGTGGTTGTTATGGTTGTTGTGGTGATTGTGGTGGTTGTTGTGGTGGTGGTTGTTGTGGTGGTTGTGGTTGTTGTGGTGGTTGTGGTTGTTGTGGTGATTGTGGTGGTTGTGGTGGTTGTTGTGGTGATTGTGGTGGTTGTGGTGGTTGTGGTGGTTGTGGTGATTGTGGTGGTTGTGGTTGTTGTGGTGATTGTGGTGATTGTGGTGGTTGTTGTGGTTGTGGTGGTTGTGGTTGTTGTGGTTGTTGTGGTGATTGTGGTGGTTGTGGTG